TCGGGAGTTTGAGACCAGCCTGGCCAACATGGTGAAACCTCGTCTCTACTAAAAATACAAAAATTAGCCAGGCATGGTGGTGGGCACCTGTAATCCCAGCTACTTGCAAGTCTGAGGCAAGAGAATCGCTTGAACCTAAGAGGTGGAGGTTACAGTGAGCCGAGATTGCGCCACTGCACTGCAGCCTGGGTGACAGAGTGAGACTCTGTCTCAAAAAAAAAAAACCTAAGATCTTAAAACTGACAAAACAGGCTCTGTAGCAATAAGATACCAAAATCCAACCCATGCTATGTTATTATTTTTTTATACCTACATTGTTTGAGAAAGGTGTGATTTTTCAAGGAATATGCCTTGTATTTAAAAGAGTGTTAAAATTCCTGATATACTGTTATAAGGAAGGGCAGAGCTACTTACATTTATTGAACTATTGAGTTTATATATTTCAGATACACAATTTCTTTTAAATTAATAATCTTTGGTGTTTATAGCTTTACTTCACAGATAAGGAAACATTTTTGCTTATGTATTTAATTTTTTTTAAATTTGGGAGTTTTTGAATCTAGGCAATAGAACATTCATGTGTGTTTGAATGACAAAACCACATTCTTTTGTTGTGACCTACTGCTCATGGTAACTGAAACTGTACTGATTCACAATATTCTAACTGACCAGAATGGAATGTGGGCATGTCCATGAATGAATATAATTAGGCTAGTGTTATATCTGGCAAGTGATAGATATAGCAATTGAAAAATCACAAATTTATTAATTTAGAAAGGAGACCTTCCTTCCTTCCTTCCTCTCTTTCTTCCTTCTTCCTCTTTCTTTCTTCTCCTAATTAGCTGGGACTACAGGTGTGCACCACCACATCCAACTAATTTTTGTATTTTTAGTAGAGACAGGGTTTCACCATGTTGGCCAAGCTGGTCTCGAATTCCTAGCTTCAAGTAATGCACCTGCCTTGCCTCCCAAAGTGCTGGGATTACAGGCATGAGCCACTGTGCCCAGCAGAGACTTTTTTACAAAGGGTTACATCCTACAGCGTGGCCATCGTGACAGATTGGGCAACATATTTAATAGCTTTGGGCAGAGACTGGAAACAGGCACTTTAAGAGAGGAGAAGGTGGAACAGAGTTTTATGGCTAAAGAGTTGGCCAAGTATTCATATTCAATAGGTTATAGGCAGAGCCATGAGTGTTTACAAAAGGGGTCCTGATGTGTGAGTACTGAACAAACATGCAGTTACATGCATCCCATGTTCACTTTGAGATGGAGACTTAACATGTAAATACGTTACACTTGGGCTCTATATGTCAAAAGGTGAGGTGGGGACATGAAGGCACTCAAGTGAGTAGCCTCTGTAAACTGGCTGGAACCAGTTCATGGTTGGTGGTCTTCTTATTGAGAGAGTTATTGAAATCAAACTCTTGTCCAATTAAACCTGTAGTTGTAGCTTATGGAACAGGAAGGTTAGTCAGTGTCTGATGGAGAGTGAGCTGCAATTGTTTTAATGTTTACTGCTTATCTTGAGGTCAGTGCTCATGCAGCTACTAGAGTAAAAGAAAAACCTTGTGGCAGTTAAAAGATAGTTTATTTTTTAAGTGTAGGGAGTTTGTGACTTAACCCTTGCTTGGCATGGCCTTAGGTCCTATTTATTTGTTTATTTGTTTAGAGACAGGGTCTCACTCTGTTACCCAGGCTAGAGTGCAGTAGCAATCACAGCTCACCACAGCCTTGAACTCCTGGG